ACACAGGCTTGCGTGAGTGGGGACAGAGGCTCTGTGGGTCAAAACACATTTCACCAGAATTCACATTTTCTTTGTTACAGCAGCACAGCCTAGACTGACAGACACAAAGGGCTTTATTAAGTGGAGGGATTGGAGAAATTTCTTTTTTCTTAATTACTCTCAGAATAAAATAAAAACCTAATAAATGTGAGGTGGAGGCACTTGTCACTGTTTTGTGATTTTGTGAATGCAAAGCCCCGGTATGTGCTCTCCAACGTGCCACAACCCGAGACCACGTCAGTGAAGCCCGTGGAACCCCCGCCACGGTGTGGCAGCAGCTTCTTCAGAGGCACAGGCCCCTCACTCCGCTGTCCTTCAAGTCCAAAGGCCGAATCAACGTCTGATGACTCAGGGGATAATTTTAGACACAAGTGGGCTGACTGAATGGTTCTGAAGATGTTGAAAAGAAACAAAAGTGCTCCAGACTCGTCTCTGAGGCTGCTCCACAGACCCGCCCTGGCCTCTTTCCAGGTGCTGCTTCAGGGCCAGAGTCTTCAACACTCCCCAGAGCGCAGAGCCCCACCTCACCCTGTCCCCAAGGTCGCAGCCACCCAGGGCCCTCATCCTGAACAACGGGTGCACAGCAGGAAGGCACAGAGGTTGGTCTACTCTGGGGTAAACTTAGACACAGACTGTTTTGCATCTTTGTTTCTCTGAGTAATCTGTTCTGCCAAGTTTCCCCCGTTATAGTCAGGGACCAACCAATTACCATGAAAATCAGATGAATAAATATTAAAGAGAATGTGTTCATCGTCTATTTTGGTGTCCTCACGGCAAGGAGGCGACATTACATTTTTAATTAAGTCTTTCATTTCCATTTTCTTTTTCAGCTAAAGCTGTCCTCTGTTGGATCAATTACACTAGAGATCAGATCCGGCACAAAGCCCCCCCAAAGAACAGTTATTAGTAGGCGTGACTTACAAATTTTCTCAACCGTACTACAAATTTCTTCTCCAAAATTGGAGTCATCTTGACAGCGCAGCCTGGGGTTTGGCTTGCGCCGACACCTGGTTTCCCCGCGAGACCACACTGCATTCCCTGCTCATCTTCCGCACGCTCTTGTCCTGGCTGGTGAATGTATGATACATTGATAGTGGTATAAATCTTTTCTTAATCACCCTTTTGTCTAAAAAGACTGAGTGAACAAAAAAATTCATCATTTTTCATCTATAAGATGGTGTAATTTAGCTAAATTTTAACTTTTCATATTTTAAAAATACCTAAAATTTTCAACTGAAATATTTCTATTCTCATAGAATTCTGTGGTTCTTTTCTCTCCTATTTTCTTTTAGGTAACAACAACTGAATTAATAGACAGCCTGTGCAAATACAAGAACTCTGGACTGTTCTGTTTAGAAAACCTTATTTGTGATTCTACCTCTGCACGTAACCTGTAGTGCCTCATGTCCCTTCTCGGGCTCTCAACTCCTAACCTGAAAAAGCCAAGGTTGCTCTGTGTACTCACTTGTCCACGCTCCTTGAACACCTACTGTGTGCCGGGCCCTATCCAGGTGCTGGGGGATCTGCACTGAACAAGACTGCTCCCCTCGTGAGGTTATAGTCTGGGGGACCAATTAGTAAACAAACTAGCAAATAAACGGGTGTCTGTTTGTGATAAGTGCTTCAGGGTAAAACTAAATCAGGGTAAAGAAATAGAGGGTCTCCAGGGGCTTCTATTTGAGATAAGGTGGTGAGGGAAGGCTCCTCTGATTTGGAATCATCCCAGCTCATTGTAAGGGGTGAGTGTGACCCCATAATTCTGACGCCCAAAGCAGATGAGCGCCCACAAGTGACAGCAGCAAGGACAGCAGGATGGATTTCACTCATGAACAGCGACTGAAAAAATCCTAAAGAAAATATTGGGCACCCAAACCCAACAACGGATTTCAGGTTTCCTATGTCAGGACCAAGCAGATTTTACAGCAGGATGCAACATCAGAAAACTCTGCCTGTGGAATTCCCCCCATTAATGGACCTAAGGAAAGAAAAAATCATAGTGTTATCTCAAAAGATGCTGAAAAAGCATTTGATGAAGTTCAGTACCTACACAGGAGAGAAGTAATTAGGTAATTAATATGGATGAATTCCACGAGAGCAGAGGTTGTCCTTTTAGGTGGTTCAAGGAAATATCGCAGGTGCCAAAAACAATGCCTGGATTTAGAAGTCCTTCGGTACACATTTGTGGAGTGGATGAATGAATGAATGAATGACGTCCTTTAGGCTGATAAGGACAATCTGCTAAAAGCTCACATCATCCTTAATGGAACAAAACCTCAGTCCCATTCAGGTTGGGAACAGACACAGGTGCCCTCTCCTGGCCCACGCTCCAAGGCGCCCTGGTCTGCACACCGGGGGGCTAGAACGTGCGAGGGCAGGGGTTGGAAGGCAGGACACAGGACCGTCACTGTCTGACGTGGCATGACCACTCTTCCAGTAAAACCACCGCAATCAGCAAAATTTCTGGGCACAGGATCACACCACAGTCCTCACCCTGCCGCAATAACTATTGAGCAAAAGTAACCAGAAACAGACCACTTACAAGAGGAACTAAAACCAACACTCTAGGAAGTAACCTAGCTAACAAAGGAAACAGAAGAACTTTCTGGAGAGAATTTTAGAATTTTAACAAAGGACATCTCAAAACTAAATGAGTGGAGACTTACGCTGTGTTCATGGATGTGATGACTTAGTATTGAAATATCAGCTTTCCCCCCAGTGAGTCTGTAAGTTCAATGCGAGTCCTATCAAAACCCCAGCATGTGTTTTTGGTGACTTGATAAACTGAATCTAGAATCAGAACAGAGGAGAATAAAGGTCTGAAAACAGCTAAGAGAACTTGTAAAAAGGAGAATCAGAGGAAACAGTCACACACCAGATATTAAGACGTTTCAACGCCGTAAGGACTAAACAGTGTGGGACTTGTACAAGACATAAACTGTCAGATCAACAGGACAGAACTGAGAGTCTGAAACAGACCCACGGGCCTGAGAACTTGGTATGTAACACCAGGATCATCCGTGCCACAAGAAAAGACGGAGTGTTTGGTAAATGGTGATGGAAAAATGGGCTCACTACATGGAGATTTTAAAAATGTTGGGTCCCTATCTTATATCATCTTCAAAAGTAACTTTGGTTGGAATTGAAACATAAATGTGAAAGATAAGACTATAAAGCTAATAGGAGAAAATATAGAAGAATACAATATATCTGTGATTTATAGATGAGGAAATCTTTTAAAACTCAAAGCCATAAGTCGTAAAGGAGAAAACTGATGGATTTGGCTACATTCCAAAGAAAGACGTCTATTCGATGAAGAACGTCACAGACAAAATTATCCAATGGGTGAAAAAGCGGGAAAGCACATATGGAAATTCGATGGCCGAAAAACTCAACAAGAAAGACCAATAAGAGGATCAATGGGGAAAGATCGGGACACAAAATTCACAGGAGAACCTGTTGATGATGTGCACAGCAAACACGAAGCGTCACTGCACTCCACACTCCCACCAGATCAGCAAAACGAGAGCGAACATCAGGGAAGAGGAGGATGTGGACCCTCACGCTCTGCTGCCGTGCACATCGGTAGTCCAGCCATTCTGGAAGCAAATGAAACCCTTAGCAACATTAAATGTATGTACATCCTGTGACCAAAATCTGAGATGTGCCCCAGAGAGACCATCACGGTACAAGGGAAACATGCACGAGGGTTTGTAGCACCTTAGAAGTCCTTCACGAGAGAGCGCAGAAGTGACGTGTGGACCGCGGATACGGGGAGCCCCAGGCAGCACAGCACACCCAAGTAACGATTCCGGATAAGAAAGCACCACGGACGGAGCTCAACAACAGGAACCGAAGGGGAAGGAAAGACATGATATGGGATTTGTGGAACAATATCACGTCTGTAAATTTCTAAAATGCACAAACACAAAATACATATTTTCCCTGATGTAAGTAAAAAAATCCACACAACTAAAGAAGGTGGCTGGGAGGTTAGACATTACGTTCATGGGAGTGGTTGCCCAGGTGGAGAGGGGACGAGGACGCACAGAGACGGATGTCTCGAGAGCTGAGATGTGCGGGCAACTCAGTCCAGACACCTGAGGTAGCAAATTCTCTCAGGTAACACTGCCTCCCCACCCCCCCTGCCCCCAGACACACACAGTGAGATGGAGTTCAAATCCAGCTGAAGACTAAGGCTTCATCCTACCCGTCAATCAACAAATGCAAGGTTCTTATCCACTCTAGGTAACTCCACCTGCTCCTTTGTTTCACTGCAGTAAAGATTTTAAAGAGCAATCCTGGAATTTATTCAACGGTTAGGTAAATGTAATTGTATTTACTAAGCTTAGCAATTCTTGGACTGTGCCAGGGTGCAGGCGAATCTATTTATTGACGAGAAGATGGGGTATTCAGTCAAACCCACAGAGTGACTCCGACACAGCCGTACTGCCAGGAACAGTGAACTCACCGTCACGAAGCATTACTTCCCCGAGTGGGAAAGCCAGAGGCTAATTAACAGGGGGTTTATTTACTGCTTCATCACATTTTATCACCTAAGAATGAAAACCTCAGTGATCCAACTTTTAGAGATATTTGAGATAAATCTTAAAAGCCCAGGAGCCCCATATTTCCTTGTCCACTATGAGTGTATTTGGAAGGAAAACTTCCTCAGTTTTTGTATTTATCTATTTTAAAGGACGTGAGAATTAAGGCCTTCGGCCTGGGCCCTGGCGACTTTCCCTGTTGTATACCTTGCACAGGGCCCTGACTGTGGGCTCCGTGGCCCGGCTCTGAAAGCATCAGTCCCCTGTGCCTGGGCTCCAGGGTCCTGGTGGAGCGAGCGTCAGGATTCCAGCAGGCACGTGTGGGTGGAGGAGGGAAAGTGGGCGCCTGGGCAGTGACTTGAGGGGAGGCCGTTAGAAGGGGGCCGGTGGCACAGGCCCCGCCCAGCCCGTGCTCACCGTGCCTTCTGGGTCCACGAGCAGCAGGTGCTTGGCGTGGCCGTCGTGCATGCCAGTGAGGACGAAGGAGCCAGGGTTAGTGGTGCTCTTCCTGACCAGGAAGTCTCCGTCTCTCTTCAGCAGCCCCTCGGCCTCCTTCCTGCTCATCTCTCCTTGGTACCAAGGCTCTGCTTTCAGCTCTTCCAGCATCTTGGCATCCGGGGCCCTGGGGGAGACGGGGCTGAGGCACTCGACCGAGGCCGCCTTGCTCAACACAGGCCCCAAGGACTGGTTCTTGAGAGCATCTTCAAAAGGTTCTGCCAACAACAAGTCAATCCCAAGAAGAGCAAATGATAAACAGAACAATGTGAGAGATGCAAACGCAAAGGCAACTTCTACCAGAATAACGAGCTAGAGAAAAATGACTGGCTGCTGATACAACGAAAATCATCATAACAAGCATCTGAAGCATAGCCCAGATCTTGGCATGACTCTTTCTGATGAGTCTGCTTTCGCAAGACAGCCAGGCGTGTGCCTTGTGCCAGGGATTCAAGCACACTCTTGTCTAGCTGGTTAGAATGACTTCATTTTTGCACACTGCAAGAGGCCCTGCACATTACATGCCATCTACTTTCTCTGGAACGTCGGCCAGCCTCTAACAAATCTGTTCTCTTCTGAATAAAAGCCTGCCAATACCAAAGGATGTACACGAGGAAAAGACAAGTTGCAAGGCTTTAATTTCATGCAAAACCTAAACCCAACCCATCAACTGTTTATTTCAAAATCTTTGTATCAGGCGAATTTTTAAAAGAGAAGAAAACTGACACTTATTGGGTGTCTTCTGTGTTACCTGCCCCAAGCCAGGACCTGAACTTGTTTCCCTGGGGAGTGTGTGAGTGTCTGAGATGGAGCTCACCTTCAGAGCACACTTCTCACTGCAGGGCATCAGTGAATGCTAAGACTGCCACTCTAACAGCAACAAATAGTGGCAAAAGAAGTCGCCAGGCATGCCTAATTAAACCTCAGTGTTCAATTTTCAAATAAGGTAACGTGTACAAAAGCACTCTCAAAAATGCACACAGTGCTACACAAGTGTCAGCATATGATTATCATCATATCGTTATGATGATAATTTAGGATCACACTGCTAACCCAGTACAATGCAAGACCACAAGAACAGGAACGGCTCTCCCCTGGGCACCACTACGTCTCCAGAGCCCAACATTCTTCCTGGGACACAGTTTGTACCCTATAAATATTCAATGAATGCTACACAATACGACAAGTTTGTCAAATGTTACTAGAAGATGGGCAGAAGTGAGGTGAATAAATGAAACCAAAATTAAGTCATTTTAACACTTGTTAAATCATTTACAGATGTGAGGAGAAAAAGAGGTTAAAACTATTGACTAAAATTATGTGTGTAGATTTTCTCCTTTTATCCTACTTTTTTCCTGATTACCTGGAGTAGTTAAAAATTTGTATTACACTGTTTCTGTACCATCACCACCAACACAATCATCATCACCAGCATCACCAACAGCATCATCACCACCATCACCATCATCATCACCAGTCTCAGCATCACTGTCACCACCGTCACCACCACCACCACCATCATCACCACCATTACCACCATGATCATCACCATCATCACCACCATCACCATCATCATCACCATCAGAATCATCATCACCACCATCACCATCATCACCACCCTCAGCATCACTGTCACCACCATCACCACCAACACCACCATCATCACCACCATTACCACCATGATCATCACCATCATCCTCACCACCACCACCATCATCACCACAATCATAATCATCATCACCACCATTATGATCATCATCACCATCATCGACATCACCACCATCATCATCACCACTATCAGCATCACTGTCACCATCACCATCATCACCACCATTACCATCATGATCATCACCATCCTCAGCATCATCATCACCGCCACCACCATCATCATCACCACCACCATCACCATCACCACCATCAACATCACTGTCACAATCACCATCATCACCACCATTACCACCATCATCACTGTTATCACCATCACAATCATCATCACCATCATCTCCAACACCACAATCACCACCATCACCATCATCATTATCATCACCATCATCACCATCACTATCACCATTGTCATCATC